ACATGGTCATTCTAGCGGCAAGCACAACCGGAAATTACGTCTTGTACCTTGGATCGTCTCCACGCAGGATGGTGATACATATGATTGATCCCTAAAACTTGTCTGTCAACATATCCAACAGCATTGCAAGGAGGGTTCAGCTTTCCTCTCACTCCACATGATACCTAGGAAGAATTCAGAGAATTTTTCATTGAAGTGTACACAACACTTACTTAGTAATGGTCTCATAACATTAAAACATCGAAAGACTCACCGATAGGATTTTCCCGTACAGAACGCTATCTTTATCATAGACAACAAATTCCCAGTCAGGAACGTACGTTCCATAGAGTGTAGCCAGATAAATCACGAGAACTGATGCGGCCACAATCCTGTGAATGTACTAAAAACAAGATCAATCCGAAAATATCTATCTAGTTTTCATGAAATTTCAGTTCTGACCAACTAACTCAAATGTCATGTTTTACCAATGCCAATAATATGACTTGAATATTGAAAACCTCCCAGTTGACAGATTCTCCTCATGTGAGTCCTTTGTGAAGATCTCGACCAATGCTACTACCAAATAGGATAAAGCTATTCTCTACATTGAAAACAGATGACAAACATGAACCTTCACTAGGTAACACTAGAGGACATAAGTACATAAAAGATAAATCTTGAGACTGAGACCACACCTGAAGAATCCCACAAAACCTCATCATAGTCACATCAACTCCATATGTTAATTCGTCAGGAGCATGAGAAAATCCACCTTCATAGCAAAAGAGTCCAAATACATGAATGTCAAAGTAAAGAGGCTACAAGTTTACACAGGAAAATTATAAATTACCTTGAAGTAGAAGACCCCAGAAGAGGAGCTTGCAGGTTCTAAAACCAACCTTCTTACAAGCTTCAAATTTATTCGAAATCCTCTGAATATTCAAAGGCAAAAAACGATTTATATGCAACAACATCGCAATTCTGAGAGATTTCAAGTTCGAAATTGACCTTTAAGGAGAGAGCAATGGAGACACCAACGATGAACAAAAAGAAAGGCATAACGAAATCAGCCAAATTGCAACCGTTCCACGGAGCATGAGCAATCATTGGCCAGTCTCCTCCAGCGTCATCAACGAGAATCATCAACTATTATGAGTAATTTAAAAAGCTTTAGAGTTCGAAATTTCGCACAAGTAGAGAGAGAGAGAAGAAAGAGATACGTACGGCGACAGTGAGGCCGCGGAATATGTCGAGAGAAGCAAGTCTTGGTCTGTTTCCGGCGAGGCTCCTCCGTGTATAAGAAGAAGAAGTATCTTCTTTAGGTTCAAGGAGATGTTGATCGTGACTCCTCTCCACTTTGATTTCCGCCATTTTACTATCAATTCTTTGGAAGCTGACTCTCTCTTCTTCTTCTACTTCGAGAAGAACACACCATTCGTTTGCTTATGCTTAAATTGTAGTGGATTTTTCTTTTTCTGTATTTTCTTTTGTTTTTACCTCCACGAAGAAAAAATTCTTTTTTTTTTTTAATCGAAGTAAATTTCATTAACCACCAAAGGGGTATAAGGCGTAAAAGCCTACAACGATTATGCAGAAATAAAAGAAAGGTCCAACAACAGATCCACCAGATTAATATCAACAGCCAAAAGATCTTCAACATTAGACTCTATCCAAAGACACGTGTTGACATGAGATTATAACTACAGCACATGTAAATGAGTCATCGGAAGTGTACCGACATCAGCCTCCACCGTCGACGAGCACCAAATCCGGTGGAGGAAAACATCGCCGAATAAAACGCACGAATAATTTTTGTTTACCACCAGAATAGATATGGATGGAGCTCCCAAAGAAATAGACGGCTTAAGAGAATCCTAATAAGCATCGGATTATCCTTTAATCTTTCAAACCTAGATGTAATCGTTTGAACGATTTCTTGCAAATCGAGGTTTCTAAAACCAAAAGCCAGAGACATTAATTTTAAATAACTAGCACTTAAAACTAATTACCAACTCAGATTTTTAGAAATTATTGAAAGAAAACATGGAAAAGAAGTAACGCAATCGATAATAATCCGATTGACTGGAAAAAAGATAAAAACCAGTCAACACCACTTATGGAAGCTGGATTTGCTCGACATAAACCGGTTATCTCCACTATTGAAGCTGAAAGATACCGGGCAAGAGCCCGAGTCACTCGGGACGGCTTCACCGGAAATTTTCCAGTCGGCAAAGATTATATTTTTTTTCTCTGAAAGTTCGATTGAGAGAAGAGAGAGAAAGATTTAAAGAAAAATGGTCTGTGTTACTGTTGTACGCGATGGAGAGAGAGAGATGATGAAGGAAGCAGATGAAAGATAAAATAAATTCTTAACGTAATTGTTTAATAAATATTGGGTTTCTACACAAGATGACCAAAGAAGACCCGTTAATTAACTGACATATTTTCGACACTGTTTATATGGTTTTTGTACACAAAATATGACCTATAAGCCCCTACACAGTCTATCCAGTCTAAAGTAATATATAAGATACACAGTAACGTGTGTCAGAGACGAGAGACATAATATCTCTCATATAGATTCGATTCAACTTAATTCTGTTTTTCTTTTTTCCGATATTCAGTTCCAGTCTCCGTTCAAAGCTCTGTGGTTCTGGTCGATAAATCCAAATAAGTTTCGCGAATTACCGGCAGTTTCTCTCGATCGTTTAAAGATCTAGTTCTAAATCGATTAGGGTGTGGGTTTGCTGTAGAGGAAAAAAATGGTTCTGAAATGATGGGGTGAGAAGAATACGGCGGAGATATGGTGGTTGAAGATTACGCAATGGTAGTTTTTGTTCAGATTCAAATTGGTTAACAATTAAATTACCGAGTTAACTAAAACTTTATCTAGAGGTAGTGATAATAATAATGTTATTGGATGAAATTCATAATTTGTACGTTATAGTAACTCGTTAATTTTTTATTATGATATAATAAATGAGTTAAGACGGTAAATATCTATATATATCACATCAATTATAACTTATCGCGATACAAAATGACTTACCATGACATAATTATAAACTTATTGATATAAATATTTGTTATCATGTTAACCTAATAAATATTACCGAGATATTTGTTATCATGTTATCCTGATAATACGTTATCTGCTAACTATTCTGATGCATGAATTTTTTTACAGAGATTTTGAGCATTAAATGTTTTGATTTTATGTCAGAGATTGTGTCGGGATAGGGTTATTATCGTCATTATTTCGTGTGTCAGAAGAGAGAGATTTGATTATGAGATTTTCGTTCGCAAATCTTTAATTATATCATCTTCTATGATTTTATTTTTTGTTCACCCATAAATATTTAAGTTTACATTAAAAAAAATAAAATAAATGACCAAAATACTCATATTCTCATGCAAATTCCATTACTACTAGTTTTTTCTAGGGATTTACTCAGATAATAATTAGGTTGTTATTACTAGATAGCCAAATTCTGAGATTAATTAAAGATATTAATCATAAGTTTAGTTTTTGTTAGAAAAGAACTATGGATTCACACGTTAGACGGTGTATATTGACGAAAATATCTTTATCAATTTCTAATATTACAATAAGACTTCCGATAGATTTGAGAAGAGGAAAATTCAATTGTAAAAATACAGTGAAGAAAAATATGTAATTTTCATGATATTTGAAGAAATACATATGACTCCTTACATAACATGAAATATTGACAGATATGTATAATTATTACATTAAAACATAGTTATTCTATGAAATACTAATGATATATTGGATAAAAGACATGTAATTTGTTTATATAACATGAAATCTTGACAAAAATATGAATCTGTTCCAAAAAAAAAATATGAGATTTTGTTAGATAGCTTGACAAAAATTTACAAGTCAATGTTAAGACTTAAGAGCATGTTTTGTCCTTGAAATACATGCGTTTTTTAAATCATATCTAATCTTATATGTCATGCCGACGAGTGATAGAGAAAATCCGGTGAAAGAGGAAAAAAAGAATAGATAGGAAAAAAAGAAAAATAATAAAAAGGTAAGATGGACCAAAGATCTTATAAAAACCCTGTCGTTGGTTAATTTGTATAAATTCTCTAACAATTATATAAATTCAAGACCTGAAAGATTCATTTTTAAGCGCAAATGAAAACAATTGGAATTTCACATATACCACAAAAAGGCAAAAGACAAATTTCATTTTTCGAAAAGATCACAAGGAGAATCGAAAAACACACTCCCTATCCCTTACATACTTAATAGAAAACCAACAACAGACCAACTTCTTATGTAACTTTTGGTTTTCTCCACAATGGGAAGTTAGCAGATTTGGCAGCGAGTCTTTAAAACTTGTTGCATCAACCACGGCCGCGACCTGCTCCTGTTTTTCACAACATATTAGAGTATTAGCTTTAATCCCATTGTGGCAAGACACAGATATTTGAAGTATTCTAGTAAAATCAGAGTTTTGTGACAAGCTTTGTTTGTGTATTTTTTACCTCTGTTGCCACCCATCTTCCCCATTGAAGTTCCTCTGCCTCTGCCTCTGGCTCCTCCATCATCCACACCACGTCCTCTTCCACGTCCAACACCTGGTGGTTTTCTATCTGCACATATTCAACCATCGTTATTAACACCTGAAGTATTCTCAATGTCTACTCTGGCTAAATATTAACACCTCAGAAAACTCGAAGCATATCTCAGTAAAGGTACAATATAGACATGAGTAATACTATACCTGTGCGTGTCTTCTCCTCCTGTACTTTATCAATCACCTGAAGAGAGAAGAAAACAATCTATGTCAAGTCAACTCAATCTAGGTTGCAGCAGTAAGAACATAAATAAAAACAGCATATGACTGTCCTTCTAGATGAAGATATTGTTTATGGTAAGTGAATATATTTGATCATAGAGGGAATGAAAAAAGTAGAAACAATAGAGAAAAATCCAAGATAAAAAGTTTATTGGCATCAGAAACACAAAACAAAAGGGTCAATATTCTGGTCAGCAATAACCATTCCCTGTGATATCGTCTAAGACGCACTACAACAAGAGGCACACCATCTGCTGAACAGAGTTCCAACAGAAACATGCCTATTGGAGCACATATCTGATTTGGCTAAGCATCATCATTCCAGAGAGAGGGGAACAAAGAAAAAACTAGATCAAGCAAGAGATATATACACACACACACAAAAAAAAATTACCTCATCCGGAACTCGAAGGTACTTGATTGTGTTACCACGGATATAACATTCCGGCATCCTCCAAAATCTATCTCCGTCCTAGAGTAATCAAGCAGCAAAATATATGAGTGTCAGCTACACAAAATTTCATCACGAAGTCTAAACAAAGTATATTTGTATCAACATATGAAAACATAAGATAACCTTTGATGTACATATGACTTCACGCAGATGGATGTTCATCCAAGTATCACAATTCACCAAATGCCCATTGTATGTCTCTCCATTCTTAAGCTCCACGAGCTACCAAAACAAAACAAGATTCAAAATTACAGTAAAAGGAAGTTCCTTTAGATCCCTAATGCAATGCTCACTTAAACTCAGCTTCACTTCATATATAACAAAATTGTAATCAAGGGTCGAAATTTTACTCACCATAGGATGCCCTTGAGCAGTTTTAAGCAGCGATAGAGGAAGCTATAAAATCAAAACAACAGCTTTCAGTTAATAAAAATTGAAACTTTAACGCAAACAAGAAAGAAGGAAAAAAAACCTAAGTTTGTCTAGTAACTTACCATCTTCTTAAATCAGAAGATTTAGAGATCCGTTAAGAACCTGATGACATCAGAGAAGTATAACATTAAACCCTTTATAAGATGCGGAAGAAGCAATAGCGAAAACGGAACAAAAACCCTAATTCAGCTACTAAAAAAAATCTGAGAGAAAAGGGAGAAACCTTGTAATATACTCCGAAGATCGGCGAGAAGGTGAACGATTCAAATATGAAAGAGATCGAAGAATAGAGAGGCGTCGAAACTTCGAAATCTGTTTTTTGCTTTTTTCTGCTTCTCGGGTTTTGACAGTGAGAGGGATGGATTTCTAATGAATCGGTGGTCTTTTAGTTTTAGGTCAATGGGAACTTTTTTGAGTTTTGCACTCGAGTCCCTTAACTTTATAATATTATCTGTTTTAGTGTATATTGTTAAACATATCAATCTAGCCAACTAATCCGATGTCGTCCAGCGGTTAGGATATCTGGCTTTCACCCAGGAGACCCGGGTTCGATTCCCGGCATCGGAGCTTTTTGTTTTAATTTTTCGTATACTTTGTCTACACCAAAGTGTATTTGTAGCCGTTGGCAATGGTTACCTGGTGGAAAATAACTAATCATTAATATGTTATTGATGCTCTCGAAATTAATTAATTTACATCACTAAGGCGAACTGTGTGAATCAAACAAAGCCAAGTGATATGTCAAATCTAATCCTAAAGTTTTACAATTAAGCTTAAAGCCTCAGCAATGTGATTGTTAAAGCTATTTTGTAACCGACAATACTTCAGACCTCTCTAAATTATCAACCAACTCGAACGTTATTGAACCTCGACCAGCTCCAGTAACTAAATCTTAATCAAAGTTTCAATTACACACAACTGTGGAATTGTGAATCTGTAACTGGTTTGTTTCAGCACATGAAAAGCTGATAGTCAGGTTCGTGAGCTCCGACATTCAAGTAATTGACATCAACTGCGGTTGTTCCCAAATCATCTGGTGGAGAACGATAAGACATAAAGTTTCAATAGAGCATAAATCTTTAAGAGACTTTGAGTGTATGTATGTGTAATCAAATGTGATCTACAATGAAGCAAATTGATGAGTGAGATGAGAGAAGGTATAGAGTTGTTCAAACCTTCGTATATTGTTCTTACAAACTTAACATAGTCAGGGATGAGATCTCGGTATATGATTCCATCCGGATGCGCATCAAGAACCACAAGTACACCTACAGATCAATCAAAGGAAAGGAAGATGTCAAACGTAACACTACAATTGTTTTCCACGATACTAATGAAAGACAAGATCATCTTGAAACTATGAAGTGTTTAGATCTTTTCTATTACTCTCAGAGATGAAAACAGATATTATACCTGGAGCAACCCAATCTGGAGAAGAGTTGCTAGGTAATGGTGCAAGCCAAAGGATATTCCTCAAGTTCATTGAATCATTGTATTTCACGTCAGATCCTAACAAAAAGGAGATACAATCATAATACTGAAGATTTAAGGGATTTCTGTGACCATTTCTATGTTTCAAGAGATTGCAAGAAAACTCACAGTCACACGGACAAGAACCCATATTACCTCTCTGGCAATATCCCATGTTGTAAGGAAACACTTTCTTGTCATAGGCTGGATACTCTTTAGCATGAAACCTACCATCACCAATCAGATACTAGTCAACAACACTACTCAAAACCTAGCTCAACCATGTAACTTTCTATAAATATTCCCCAAAACTCATTACTTACGTTCAACCTTTCTAAAAACACTGCAACAATTGTGTTAAGAATCAGAAACCATTCTTCCTTTATTGATAACTGTTGGTTACATTCAAGAACACAAGAACAAACCCTAGAGAGTTCTCTTCACTCTCAAAGCCTAAATGCTCCCAATTAACCAAATGGTCTAGACCCCCTTATATCTACTATTCTAGTGCCTATCAAAGCGTCTCGATTCTTACACAACGAAGTCAGTAACAGAACATGATCATCATTACTATTTCAAGAGTCCTAGTGTGTGTTGAGGAGACAAAGGAGACTTACAATATTCCAAGGCGTCCAGATTCTGAGGCAAGGAATAAATGGCCATGGAACAAATCATATCTACTCAATGAAACATTCAATCCAACACTAGGTCCCCTAGATTCAATTACATGAAACAAGAACTCGAAATATGAGTTCACTTCCTGTTCATTAACATCATCAATCAGATCACTACACCATAAGATCAAACAGTTCACAAAATAGCTTCTTTTTTTACCTCTGCTATAAAATGACGACCATAAGGAGTTCTAGTAAGTTGACATTTATCTTTTCTTGATCGTTCAACATCAGGAACCTATAAAACCAAATTTTAACCAATTCAATCTAACGAACAATAAACCAAATCAAACCATTAAATTGAAGACGAACCGGGATCATTTTCGGATTGAGAGTTCGCTGAATTGAACCGGGATCACCACCGGAGTCAACAGCGAGACGAGCAAGCTCTAGAACCGATTCCGGTGGCCACCAGATTAGAGAATTCTCCTCTTCAAACTTGCTCCGTCTCTCAACGGCGTCAATTTTTCCGGAACAGAGTCCAGTACGAGGCGAGCATCGTCCAAATTCGGGTTTAGGTTTATCCGATTTGAATGGGACGAGGAATTTGAGACACGATTTGATCTCTCGAGAGACGATTGGGTTGAGGCACGACGCGGCGGAGGGAGGTCCGAGAACGGAGAGTAGATCGTCGCCGGTGGCTTTCGGAAATGACGACGGAGAATGAGAAGCGGAGTGGAGTTTGAAGGATGAAGCTGCTGCGATGGAGAAGGAGATGAAAATGGTGAAACGAAGAGGAACGTACGAATTCACCATTGTCGTGTCCTTCCTCTGAATTTTTGGTGAATCCACATTATCTTTGTAGAAATTGGAGAATGGAGAAGAGAGACTCTAGAGTCACGTAAACTCCATTGGAGAATTATTAGAAGTGTTTAATTAACGAAGCCATTAATTAGCGACAACGACAAACATTGTGGCACACAATTTGTGGGCAACCTTAAAACCCATTAAGAAGCCCGTTAAGAAATAGTTGGGCCACTTCCATCAAACGACGATCTTGATCATCCATCAATTTTAACATCCCACATCACCTATACATTGCCATTTCACAAATCACAATATTCAATTTTGTTTCCATGGACTTTATGGTTTATGTGGAAAGCATGGAATGATAAAGTGTTTAAGAGACTCTACGAGGAACCCACTAATATTATAAATTATGCTCAAAGTTAACAATTATAAAGGGAGGAGACACAATTAGAGGCTCTTGAGGAAACAAAATGACTCCACAACCTCATAACTTATGTTCTTGAACATTGGATGTCAGTTTGATGGATCATGGAAGGCGTCAGACCACACGACTGGGTTTGGATGGATTTGTTTGCAAGGCGATACATTTTTTATTCTATCGGGTCCAAGTGTCATCGGAGGAGTGTAAGTAATGTGTATTGCATATATTTCCAAAGGAGATTACAAGCATATATATACATGAATCAGTAGAAAACTCTAGGTTAAGTCTCTTATAGAAAGAGAGATAGAAAAAGAAATAAGATATACATGGAATGATGATATGATCATATCATATCCTTGACACGCCCCCTCAAGATGGAGGGACTATGGTCACACCAATCTTGTTTCTTAGCTCGAGAAACCGACTGCGTGGTAATGGCTTTGTAAGTGCATATGCAAGCTGATCTTTCGTGTTGACATGAGAGACGCGGAGAAGACCGTTTTGAACTTGACCCCGGATGAAGTGATAGTCGATGGCAATATGTTTCATTTGAGATTGAAACACAAGATTAGCACAAAGAAACGTAAATCTGACATTGTCGCAATAGATGACTGGTGACACTGGTAGTATGATTCCAAATTCAGTGAGTAGGCTACAAATCCAACGAATTTCTGATGATGTGTTTGCAACCGCTCTGTATTCGGCTTCTGTGGATGATCTTGCAACACCATTTTGTTTCTTTGCAGACCAAGAGATAGGACTTTTACCAAAGTAGACGATATATGCATTAGTGGAGACGTAATTATGTGAGTCTCCTCCCTAGTTCGAGTTTGAGAATGCGTGTAAAGTCAAAGGATTCTTAGCAAAAAAGAAAATAAGAAATGATTATCAAAAGAAAAAGGTATATACTGTTATATTACCAAAAATTTATAACAAAATATAGCACTAAAAAAATGAATTTGTGATCTATTTTGTGGTATATTTTGTTATATTGCCAAAAGTATACACCAAATTTTATAATAATTTTTTTTATGGTCTATTCTATATATTATTTTTCGTTTATCAATAATAAATAAATAATATTTTTTTGTAGAGAAGACATCTGTTTTCTTTTTGCATCAAAA